AGAGATGCTGTGCAGTATTTGGCCTTCATGGGGAGTTCGGGCAACCTAACAACCCTATTCATATATCAGTGGCTATCATCGCCTGCCTGCCAACCACCGAACGTGTCGTGATAAGAGCCTGCCCTCTAGCAGCACACGAGTGCAAGTTTCGGTGCAGTTTCCCCCAGTTATACCAAAAACCTCGGCGACATCCTGGTGGCTGAGTCTGTCATGCACAGTTCACCAGCTGCCCTAAATTCTCAATAAGATGTGGGCTGGCGCGGCATCTTCTCACCAGCTTCAAGGCTTTTTTGGAGGGCTTTCTGGGCCCATCAAGATCAGAAGGCTTTGGCGCGCCAGTCCGGTCAATTACACATTCTCACATGCTGTGCCATGAGTTGCCTTTCCAAGGGCTGTCGGTTTCGGAATCGGGAGATTCCAAGCTAATCCTTGCCCAGGCATCCATCAACCTCGCCTACCTTGAGCTGGGTTGAAACGGCAACTTCTCGTAGGAGTGAAACTAGCGAGGGGCCGATAACCCTGCCACCTTCGCAAGAGCTCAGAAGCTCAAGCACCTGAGAGGGAGGTGGAAGAAAAGTCCCGGAGAGATTTTTGTTAACAAGCAAGGAAAGGCGGGCTGGACAGGTTTTCAGAATCGTTGAGGTTCACACCATGCCACGCAAACTCCTGCTTTCGACCTTCCTTCCTGTAAGCTGGGTGCTGCGCTTGGGTAGGCCCTCCACAATTCCTGGGGCTCGTTGTTGCTGTGCGATGGCCTTCATCCCGGGATGGGCCTCTTCGTCGTCCTCCGGAATCATGGCAGCTCTGGCCGTCGGCTAGCTTAAGCCTTAAGCTTCTTGAAATCCTATGTGTGACGATGACGTCCGAAATGCAGGCACCAAACTGACAACTGCTTCAGCTCCTCGTCGCAAGGCTTCTGAAGTGAAGCCTCACCCCAGAAACGGTGCTGCGGGGGCGGGGAAGAGCAGGGAATTCAAGGCACATGGAGGTTTGCAGCCTAATCAAGCAGTGGGCAGCATCCCGAGTTACCCCTTGCCTTGGGTGAGTGGAAGTCGTCCTCGTCAGATTCGGGCTCGATCCAGGTCACGGACTGCTCGAGCAAGTAGCTGAGGCAAACCTCACAACACACTTCCCTTCCCTCACGAATCTGCCGTCGTCTTGGGCGCTGCAAGACAAGTCATCTTCCAGCGTTCCTGTGCTTAAGTCAGGCGACCCTGGGAGACCGCCAATCGGCCGAGGCATCGGGTTCCAGACATTCCTGCGCCTCCTCAAGGAAAGGGCTTGCTTTTTTTGTGTTGCTTCTCATGGTTTGTGAAGCAAACCGAAGAAGTTGGTGAGGCCAGGCTTGGGAAGGAAACGAAAATTGCAATCTAAGGTCTTGAAGGCGCAACATGAAACTCCGATGAACGAATCTGGGCACTCCGAGCCTCCGCACCCAGCGCCTGTTGCCGACTGTGCGCCTCACGTCCTGCCCAAGGTTGGGAGGGTTCAGGGGAGTAGCAGTAGTGGCATCAGCAGTACAGAACTAGCAGCAGTCGCAGCCGCAGCAGTCGCATGATTTGGAACCCCTGTGCCTCTGGCAATCCATTCCTTCCTGCTGTCAAGCTTGAGGCCGCCTGCCCTTCCCCAGCCCCATATAAAGGGGTTTACGAAAATAGGGGAACCCCTAATGAGACCCCCACACAGTAGGATCCCCTCATTATAAGGACCCCAATTACCCCCCCGCCAATATCGCAAACCCCCAGATACCAGATGGCGGGGCCTGCATGAAAGCAACTGCGGATCGATGCCGACGGCTCGGGCCCGCGGGTGCCGAGCTCCAACCTGGGGGCACGTCTGTTGAAAGAACCCAGAAGCATTGCACTCTACTTACTGTTGGTTAGTAGGGAATGAGGGAATGGGGCACCCTACATCCTCCTATGTATACCTTAAGGGATTCTTTTGGGTACCCCATTCCCTCATTCCCTACTAAGCAACAGTAAGACTAGGCACCAAGGAGTGCACAACCACAGAATGTACTGTATGAACACGGCTAGATCAGGGTACATTGGTCGGAGCTTGCACTTCCACAAAGATCCATATCTGACTTGGATCACCGATCCGAATCGGTCACTTTTTTTTCACAAGGGACTCGACTGCTGAGTGCTGCCCTTATCCGCCGAGGCCTCGGGCCATCGGTGTCTAGGTAGCACAAAGCAGGCACACCACCTCTAATCCCCTCCCCAATGCACCCCTTTATCTTGGAAGGGACACCCCCCCCCCCACCCCCACCGACAGGTCACAGGTGTCCGGGAGAGGGGACGTTTGGGCCGGCCATAGGGGGCGGACTCCGAATTTGGGTTGCCTCGCCGCCTTGCAGGCCCCGGCCGAGGTGTGTCACGTAGCGTCAACATTCATCCCGAGTCGATCATGCACATCGTAGTATGCATTCAGAAACATTCAGAAACTTCCGCAGGGTCCAAAAGGTTGTTCCTCGAAGCATCCTTCCTGTTGTTGTCCCTTTTGGCATGTCATGTCATCATTCAAGAACAACTTTGGAACGGCTCAGCATTGTGGGTGCTCACCCTGCGGGTGTACTACAGGAGTCTGGGAGAGACATGTCGGGTTGAAGCCCTGCTTCCATTTCAATGCGGCTGTACAAGACCTAAAAGCCTAGTTGGCCGATTCACGCGAGCAAGCCTTACCCTCCCCAGACCACCAAACTGATCAACTGTAAACCAGCCTAGAGCCACTGCAACTCTAAGACATTTGCGTTTAAGCCGAGGAAAGCACCATGTTAGAACTGGCCCTAAGCAGCCAGGAAGCAAGACGATGCGGGAGAGGCGAAGCCACGACTCGGCGACGCGACGTGCGCGGGCACCTTTTGCTCCCAGGTTTTTTCTTCCGAGAACAACCGGAAGTGGACGCCCAGCATCTACGCTCACCACGGCTTCTGGGCAGCCCTGTATCTACAGCCGTGCGCCTTGGGTTCTGAGGTTCGTGCATAGCAGGCTGGGGCGATACTCAGGTCATGCAGAACGCTAAACAACTTGGAGCGATCTCTTGAGGCTTCGGGTTTGTGTTGCTTTCGACTGACACACACACACACACACACACTCACACTCACACACCCGTGAGATCGACCTGGTCATGTGGTCGGGAAGCTCCAAGACTCCTATGCCGAGAAGACGTTCAACAACCCAACTTTGTCCAGCCATTCCTGGAAGCCTTGCCTCTCTCACCGCCGTCCCACTGTTGGCAAGGCCTTTGTGGGACATGCGTGCACGGTAGAAAGAGCATAGCGGTGACAAACAGGATGAAAGGCCTGGTCAATAGCCCTCTCAAACAAAGGATCACAGCTACTTTCGAAGCATAGTGGCCCAGCGAGGAGCAAGGAACCATGACCCGGGTGCGCAGGGGAAAAGTCCAGTTCCACCTGAAGAAGCACTGGCGATGCCGAAGTAGCCACTCCGATACATGCTCCCAAGCGCCCAAGAAGCTCAGCCCCAAGCCCTAAAGTGCGGAAGTGCTGAACATCCAAAAGACAACCTATTGCTAAGAACGTGCCACGACCCACCTCGTCCTCCTCCACCTCGCAGCCTGCACCGGATCGACATGGGCTACATGAGGACAAGCCTCTAGAACAAGTGGTCCCAGGCAAGTGAAAAGCAGTCACCTAGTCTGCGAGGGCTGCATTGCTGAACGGCGGCCATCGCGCAAGACCTCGGCGCGAGAGACAGACGACACGAACCCCTCACTGGGCAAAGACACCTGCAAGAAGTGCAGGGGACTCATGTGCAGTCGAGGTGCACTGACCGCTTTCCTTACGGCAGAAAATGGAAAAACTCGAAGACACCCAAAAAACAACCTGTTTTCGGATGGGGGCTGTATCAGCCTGTAGAATCGCACGAATCCTCACACCATGGCTCTGATAGGTGCCGGCGTTTTGGAAGGAGACCTCAGGAACACGGATGTCGGAACGCACCAAGGAAATGCGCTTCTGTGGGATGCTCTTTAATCTCTTTTCATGAGCACCGAGACAAGGGCGGTGTCCTTGTGGGACATCGTGGGGTCAAAGAGCCTTTTGTGGCTGCAGCGACCTTAGTCAACCGAGGAGTGCGCAATCACAACAAGGAGGCCCAAATCTGAGGTCCAAGTCGCCGCCTGCTTGATGGAGAGGCCAACCGGAGGGCGAGGGGGGTGGTTACCTTGGCAAACCATCCCCGCGTTCCGAGTCTGCACTCGGTGCCCTTGCGCTTGAGCCAGGCTTCGAGGCACGGATGGCTGGCGAGGGCGGACCACCTCCTCGAAACACGCAACGCGCAAAACGCACCAGGCGTGGAGATGGTGTCGGGGAACCTGCATAACCTGATATAGCCTGCACGTGTACTCAGGGTCCTCGGGCATTCGCACTCCCGCGACCGCAGCGGCAAGGTCAAAGAACCTCTCTTCGCAATCAGAGCACGGAAGCGAAGTGATTTGGAAGCATTTCGGGCGGTCATCACGTGGACTCGTAAACTCATATACTCGTAAACTCCTCGAAGTGGTTGGCTTCCGCTTGCCGCCCACCGCAGCGGCACCGGAGCCCGCCGGAAGGTGCCGCATGGCGATAGGGCACGTGGCCATATCTAGGCTCCAAATTGCCGTAACTCGGCCCGTCACAGGAACTCCAGTGGGTTTGACGTTTCGACGATAGGTCTTGGAGCTCGTTTTAACACACCACAGGCTTGTCAAGGCTGTATGTCGCAAGCACAACTCAGACGGCACCTGGCACCTGCAGCACCCTGAACGCTAAACTCTACAGACCTCTGTCTGCCAGCTGAGTGAAACAGCAGCTGAACGGCGCCACAGGCTCTCTCATGGGGTTTAGGGTTTAGGGTTTAGGGTTTAGGGTTTAGGCTTTAGGGTTTAGGGTTTAGGGTTCCAAGGACGGGGGTGTGAGCGAAAGCTATCACCCCGTGCAACACAAGGCTTTGTAAGGCGAATGAATGCGACAAGAGCACTTCACTCACATCCACCGCCTTGGCCTGAACTCTGCGCTGTAGGAATTCCTTGCCGGAAAGACTTCGGCACTGCTTCATGACTCCGCACAGGGATACCGGGGAGAGGACACGAAAGCAAGAACCAAAGTCACTTGCAGATTTCGGCACCAAACGTGTGGCGCTTTGCGCCACGTAGGGAGCTCCCAAGCTTTATTCTGGCATTGGCTCCTACGACTCCCACGCGAGGGAGCGGATGCTTGGGTCCCGACTGGCCACGAACCTCTCACAGGGGGCTCGCATGTGTTATGTTGAAAGGGAATCCCGGGGTGCACTCAACGGCCCATGATCTGCGTAATTCAGAACCGCCAGGGTCGCCTTGGCCTGCCCCAGCCCAAGCCGCCCATGGCCGCCATGGCCCCAGGTGAAGACCTTAGCGGGAGACGATCTTGGGGAGGTGTGAACTGTACAGCAAACCCTTTTAAATCTGGTCTTGCGTCGTAAGCCGGGAAATGACAGCGGCTGGCTGCATCTGAGCATGCCGCTACAGTTAGGTTCAACACCCATGACGATGCGAAAAAGCCGCTGGGCCCTAAAACCCTGATAGAGGTATCGGAGCTCCATGCAGTACCTCCGGCTGTGGCCCCACCTGAGCTCCTAGCACTGCCGGTGGTCGTCAGCGCCACGGAATGCTTGGTTCCCGCCGCGACCTCGCCCCGAACAGCTCGAACCGAAGAAACTACATCTTTCTGTCCATCCATCGATCTCGCTCTTTCTCTCTGTGTGTGTTATCTACATATCCATACATGTATATAGAGAGAGCCCCACCCTGAAGTTCCCATCGTCAAAACCATCGGGCACGCACCTGATACACGGCAACCACTCGCCTGCCGGGGCTGGAATATGTCCGATCTTTGATAGTCAAGGATGAGACATCTGCCCCGAACGATTACGTCTCTGTAGTCTTGCGTATCGCGGGCCCAGAACACGGCACGCACTTCTCAGCCGACGGTTCAGAATCCACGCGGCCTCGCGGCCTCCGCATCCTGCGAAGCATCAAAAAAGAGGGCATGCTTGCCAGCAGGGCAGGGGCAACACGGCAAGAGCCACGGGGCCATGTGCTTCAAGTCTTGGGTGCTGGCATCTTCGGGAAACCACACTTCGGTGGGAGTGAAACCTTGGATCAGGAGAGCCGTGTGTCTCTGAACGGAAGTCTCACCGACAGGCAACAAGAACGGGAGAGTTCCAGCCTCAAGCAAACAGAAGGCGTGCTGTGGCTATGAAAGGTTCAAGCCAAAGCAACAGTCGGCCCAAGATCCAATCCCCAAAGCGCCATAGCTTCCTTGGCCAGGCACTTGTGTGATTTTTTGCCACCCGCCTATCATACCGCAACGTATTGCATCTATGGCGAATCTATGGCTCAGCACAAAAGTACCCAGAGGAACAGCCCATGAGGCATCGATACCCTCAGCCTCTGCGCAGCGGGTCTGGCACTTTTTCCGTGCCGTCGTTTCTCTTCGTCTGCGCCAGTACGGAGGCTGGCAAAGCGCGCAGCAAGCTCCGCATTGCCCATGGCCCTGAGGTGGGCCTTGGAGAAAAAAAAGAAAGAAAGAAAGCCCCGCGTCCTCACTATTTCAGCCCTACATAATAATATATATATATATATATATATATATATATAAGATTATATATATATATATATATATATTATTTATTTATATTTCTATATAACTGACAATCTGTGTTCTCTTGCAGGTCGTGCCTTGTTGCGGAGGAGGAGCCCGTACGCTCCTGGCCCCGACTCCTGGGAAGCTCGTAGACTTGGGTTCTGGTGGCTCAGTTTGAAGGAACCCAAGGACTACAAGAAAAACAACAGGGGCCTGGCCATGATTCTCCAAAAAGCCTTGAAACCAAGAAGGCATTTACTAGATTTTCCTGCCACGCTGCAGGGTTTGACGAGACAAACTGCGAAGAAAAGCACGCGAGACCGGCCTACGTTGGGGTTTGGGCGACTTGGATGGGGTCCTTGTTGCGCTCGTTCCACTCCTTCCGGGCTCGCTCCAGGTCCTCCTGGGGGTTGTGAATTGCTCACGCACGCAGTTCCGCACAGGTGGCTTGTGATTGGCTTGGATTGCCTCTGGAGCAGGCCTACTGCAGGGCACGGAACCCTGCCTTAAAAAAAAGAAGCCAGGTCATTCGAAAGGGGTACATGGATCAACACGGTTCAACACGGTTCAACATGGTTCAACCCTTCATCTCTTCCAGGATTTCCGGCCCCGGCGTCCTTACGAAGGAGCTGAAGTGTGGGCCATGGTGCCTTGGAGTTGAAGGTCCCCAGCACAAGGGAAGAAAACAGCAGATCCAAACAGCCTTGGAACCACACAGAAGCCCGTCTCACAAGCAACCTGCACCCAAGTCGACGCCAAGCTTCGCGGGTGGTGTAGTGGCCTCCCAAATCGGGGTTTAGGGTTTAGGGTTTAAGGTTTAGGGGTTAGGGTTTAGGGTTTAGGGGTTAGGGTTTAGGGTTTAAGGTTTAGGGTTTAGGGTTAGGGTTTAGGGTTTAGGAGGGTTTAGGGTTTAGCTGGGAAGCCCTACTTCGGTCCGCCCCCGACATGTTTCTGCGGGCCTGGATCTAGCGGACTACTGCGGCAGCCGGGCCCCTGGTCCTCGGTTGCGGGGTCCGTAAAACCCTGAACCCTAAGCCCCTTTTTTATGCATCCGGGCTATGATGACCCTAAACCCTAAACCCTAAACCCTAAACCCTAAACCTCACAAAAAGAAGCCACGAGGAACCCAAGGCTCTTCGCGAAGCGGATGGAAGGCCAGCAGATCCAGTGCTTCCTTCTTGTGAAAGGCTTAGCTTTAGGGTTTTTTTTTGCCAGCCGCCTAGCTGACTCGGCATCATGAGCTCCTTGGACACTGCCGTGGCGACCTCGCTCCAGAGCTTTCCGAACTGCTTCAGCCCAGACCGACCCGAGAAGTCCTTGCTGGTAGGGGGAAGGCGAGGGGGGAGGGACGGCAAGCTTCGGCACAAGCTTGAAAAAGTGAAGCTCAGCTGAATATGCAGTGGAACCTCGTGGGAGAAGACGGTGAGGGTGGTGGGCACTTTCGTCCCATCCGTCCAGGCCCGCAAGCGCCGGCCTGCACCTGCCATACAGCTGTGGTTCGGGCTCCCCCGCCATTCAAGAGGAACAACCATCATCAAAGGCATCGGACTCCAGTTAAAAACAAGGGGCCCAAATATGTCAAAGCTGAAAGATCTCCAGAAAAAGATGAGAGATGCTTGGAGATGGAAAAAATTGCTTGTGCCAAGTGCGTGCCCAGTCTCTGAGGACGTCAGCCACACATCGCTGCAAGGAATCTGGGCCGTGCCCGCTGTGGAGGATAACCGCCTCAAAAGACGTTGCAGCTTCAGAGACCTGCACATTCCGCCATATGTTATGATACTTCGTTTCCTATACCGGCGCCTCAGACGCCAGTGCCCACGGGCAAAGACCCTCGCCTGCCACGAACTCCCGTAGCCAAGCCCGTGTGCTCTGGACCTGATGACTGGCATGCGAGGAAGCCACGGGCCTTCCCGGCCCATAACCAAACTGTGATTTTGACAAAGGCCCCACTGCCATTCTACAGCGTTCATTCTTATTCGCACGACCCTCAGCACCCGTCGACATCTTGCGGTCACCAGGGCGACATCTGGGCGCGTGGAATGCGGGGAATCGCCAGTTGCAGATCGACAGCGCGCAGCCAAGTGCCTCCCAGCATCGTTCAGCTGCAAGTCACGGCGCCGTGTGCTAAGCTCCCTTCCGGGCTACTACCGCAGTGACTACACCAACACCGGCACTTGAAGTGCATTGCGACGGCTCTCCCTTGCAGTCCCTGCCTTTGTGGCTGAATCTCTGCCGCACTGCCAAGGCCATGCAGGAAGCCTGCTTGCGGAACAGTGTGCTGGAGTGCCTCAGCCACACAACTCCTGAAAGTTCTTTTACAGCTCGCGCCGTGTCTGCAGAAGCCAAAACCCCGAACCAGTCCAAACCTCGGTCTGGCACCCTTCAAGTGGTCGCAGGATAGGTCCACCGAAAGACCTACATCATGTGAAGCACAGACCCTTAAGAGCCTTTCAAGACAACTCTTGCTTCGCTCCAAGTGTCCAGCATTCCAATCGTCAGCCTGAGCACGGATAAGGCAGATTCCGGACCCGCACCAGACCGTCCGGCGAAGCCGGGAAAAGCTCATTCCGCGGAATGAAAAAATCAACGAATCAGCAGGGGCGCAGGTGAGTCAGCCGGCGGGCCGACGGACCCTTTGCTCGCGTTGTCTTTGCACGGCTTGGGTCCATGGCACGGACATGCTACAGCAAGTGTTGCATGTGTGGTTGTCGAGACTGCCGGAAGTAGATGCCACAGATTTTTTAACCGGATTTGCAAGGCCCAGCTTCATGTACTGTCTCAAGCCCCGAGGTTTCGATGAGCGCGAGGATCCGCGTTTTCGGACAACTTGAATGCGTTCGGCTTTGGAGGACTTCAAGCTGCTAGCACCCTGCAATGCAAACTTCTGAGAGACCTCAGAAACAGAGGAAGTGCCACAGCACCTCGCAAGGGAGTGCAAGCCTGAGGCAGGATCCCAAACCCCAGGCAAAGAGGCGGCCAGGCTCCATGAGAGCTGCACCTGGGCCCACTGGGATTGGCGACGAAGCCCGTGCACTGGCGGCCTAAGTCACAAACCTCTCCATCAGTGGCTAGCGGAACCAAGACCAGAACCCGTTCACCCACATCCCACATCCCTTTCTGCACCTTGCAGAGGCCTAGAGTCTCAAACGCACATCACATGCTCACATCCTTTAACCCGAGAAAGCCCTGAACCCGAATGTCATGAGGCACGGTCCCTTTTTCCTGCGCAGCTCTTCACTTGCTCTGACGGTTCTTCTGGCAATTCTCGAAGGCCAAGACGACCTCCTCGTGGCAAACTGCTGCTGCTTTCACCTGATCTCACGAGGCTGTCTGGCTCGTGTCGGGTCAAACACTTCCACAACCACTTCCGCCGAAACCACCTCAATGTTCAGCCAAAAACACCACTTCGAACATGCCCACCCCGTCCCTAAAACCCAACTTGGAAGGGAGAGTGCTGTTGCTGTCCACGCTCAGAGTTTTTGGCCCGACATAGCAATTTTTTGAGTGTGGGGTCCCGGTTCGGCGCTGTGACTTTGATGGGTGTGATGGCAGTGGGCGTCGCTTTACGGCAAGTTCAGGAGCCCTGGCGTGCTTCAGTTGCTCTGCACCTGCTTATCAGGCGCTATTGGTAGAGTTGCCCAGTCTTCCTGGCTTATGAGCACAACGTTCCAGGTACAGTTGCCTGCCTGTGCCCGAAAGCCGTAGTGCCTGCTGTCCTGAGCACGTCACGTCACCTCTTGTCAGGTGGCACGAACCAGGCGTTTGGAACCCAAGCCGGGACGGGAGTTTCGGGTAGAGCCTTCAAGGAAGAAGCCAGCCCACCCCCATTATCAGGGATCCCCCCCCTGCGAAAAAAGGCACCCCACACACAGAGAATCCCCAAGCAGACGCGTCTGCGAGATAACATGCGTGAAAGGCATCATCATTGCATGAAGGAGGACGGGTGGCACAGCCTGTGGTGAAATGGCCCTCCTCTTTGGGATTCCAGGGCCTTCTCTTTGGGATCTCGGTCTTCCTCCTTCAGTAGAATAGGTTGCCCACAAGCAAGAGGGTTAAGTTCACCGGTAGGTGGACGACCCTGCCGAACAAACTTCTGCAACTTAGGGGTTGCGCAAGGAGTCGCAGAGATGTGACTTCTGCAACAAGGCGCCTGGCTTGTGAGACGGAGCTAACAGGGATGCCTTGGGGGGCTGTAGAACGGTGAGAACTGCGCCAAGGAGCATGGTTTGTCTTCTCCCGGAAGTCGCGAGTGCAGCGTGAGACGGCTTCCTTGAGAATGCCATGGGCCTGCGCAACTTTGAAGTGATAAGACTGGATTTCTGGTACTAAACAGCTTCGGACAAAAGCCTAGAGGCATGCTACAAGGCAGGTGAGAAGAGCCGCGCCTGCATCAGATTTTCATTGTCGACCTCGTTCATCCTTAGCTCATGGCGGTCGCCGCACTTGGCCATGGGCACCAGTTTCGGACTTGTCACTTTTGCTGCGACACCCCCACCCCACCCCAGCTGTGAGTCACAACCAAGGGAGCGCACACATAGCGGCCCCGAATTCAGGGAAGCCTCCAGTAGTCATAGCACTTGTGGCGCAGCTGCTTCCAATAGTTGGCCATGTGGCCCTGTTGCTCCACCGACAAGTGTGTCTTCCAGGTGTCGTTCTCCTAGGCACACATGCTGCTGCACATGAGCAAGTCATCCTTTGCAAGGCCATACCATAGCTACAGACCCTTCACACAAGGACTGCGTACCTGAATGCTCAAACTTAGAGGTCCAAAGAATGCAAATTCACTTGGGGGTTTCCGAAATTGAGGGTACCTCATTAGGGGTCCTTCTTATAAGGGAATCCCACTACTTGGGGGGGTGAATGTTGGGGCCCTAAAGCCTATACCCTAAACCCTAAACCCTTAACCCTAAACCCTAAACCCTAAACCCTCAACTCCCACTTCGTAGCAGAGCGGCCACCCGAATGGCGGCCCGATGGCCTCGCTCTTCAAGGAGTTGGTCGTCACGCTGGTAGCTGCCCGTCCTGGGTAACCTAAAGGGTTTAGGGTTTTTTTTCGCTCCCGCATAGCTGGCCGAACCGCAGGCAGGGTGATTTGGCGGTCTGTTCGGAGAAAAAAAGTGGCCCCACTGGAGGACCTACAAAAACACTCTCTTCCCCACTACTTCATACACTTCTCGATTTGTGCGTTTAGGGTTTAGGGTTTAGGGATTAGGGTTTCTGCAGCACCATCTCCGAAGAGCGAACGGGTGGAGTTTTTTTTTGGGTCTTTTTTTTTTTTTTTGGGCCTTTCTTTTTTTTTCTTGGTCGATTTTCTTGGTTTTCTCTAGGAAAACCTACTTTCCTTACATTTTGGACGGATTTTCTGTCATTTCCCTTAGGTTTTCGTTGGTTTTTCATAGGGAAAAACCTATGTTATTTTTTACATTTTGGACGGATTTCCTGTAATTTCCCTTAGGTTTTCCTTGGTTTTTCTTAGGGGGAAAACCCTATTTTCCTTACATTTTGGACAGATATCCTGTCATTTCCTTCGTTTCTTGGGCTTTGAAGCACGCTTGGTACGACTTAAAAGAAGCGGGAGGGGGGGTCGGGGGGGGGGCGGGGGGGCGCAGCCCCCCCACTTGCAAACACCTCTTGGGCTTTGAAGCACGCTTTGCACGGCTTCCAAAAAAAAAGAGCGGGGGGGTTCGGGGGGGGGGCGCAGCCCCCCCCATTTGCAAACACAATGCTCAAACGATGTTTTTCAACTAGTTTCTCGGGCTTTGAAGCACGCTTGGTACGACTTAAAAGAAGCGGGGGGGGGGTCGGTGTCAACAAGTTTTTTGGGCTTTGAAGCACGCTCTGCACGGTTTGAAAAAAAAACGAGGTTTTCGTTGGTTTTTCCTAAGGAAACCCTCTTCTGATTACATTTTGGACGGATTTCGTCAAACGTCAAAGCGTACGTTGCTTTTCCTTAGTTTGTCCTAGGGAAAACCTATTTGGTTCGTTTTCTTGGTTTCTATCATTCCCTCTATATTTTCATCGGATTCATACTTTTTTTTCAACTAGTTTCTCGGGCTTTGAAGCACGCTTGGTACGGCTTAAAAGAAGCGGGGGGGGGGGTTGGGGGGGCTGTGCCCCCCATCTGCAAACACCCTGCTCACATGATGGGTTTCAACTAGTTTCTTGGGCTTCGGCTGAAAAAAAGCGGGGGGGTTGGGGGGGGGCGCAGCCCCCCCATTTGCAAACACAATGCTCACACGATGTTTTTCAACTAGTTTCTTGGGCTTAAAAGAAGCGGGGGGGGGTTGGGGGGTCTGCGCCCCCCATTTGCAAACACCCTACTCACATGATGGGTGTCAACAAGTTTCTTGGGCTTTGAAGCGCGCTCTGCACGGCTTAAAAAAAGCGGGGGGGTTGGGGGGGGCGCAGCCCCCCCCCCATTTGCAAACACAATGCTCACACGATGCTTTTCAACTAGTTTCTTGGGCTTTGAAGCACGCTTGGTACGGCTTAAAAAAAGCGGGGGGGGGGGGTTGGGGGGGCTGTGCCCCCCATCTGCAAAAACCCTGCTCACATGATGGGTTTCAACTAGTTTCTTGGGCTTCGGCTCGCAGCCCCCCCCATTTGCAAACACAATGCTCACACGATGTTTTTCAACTAGTTTCTTGGGCTTTGAACGGCTTAAAAGAAGCTTGGGGGGTCTGCGCCCCCCATTTGCAAACACCCTGCTCACATGATGGGTGTCAACAAGTTTCTTGGGCTTTGAAGCGCGCTCTGCACGGCTTAAAAAAAGCGGGGGGGGTTGGGGGGGGCGCAGCCCCCCCCATTTGCAAGCACAATGCTCACACGATGTTTTTCAACTAGTTTCTTGGGCTTTGAAGCACGCTTGGTACGGCTTAAAAGAAGCGGGGGGGGTTGGGGGGGGGCGCAGCCCCCCCCCCATTTGCAAACACCATGCTCACATGATGGGTGTCAACAAGTTTCTTGGGCTTTGAAGCACGCTCTGCACGGCTTAAAAAAAAAGCGGGGGGGTTGGGGGGGGCGCAGCCCCCCCCATTTGCAAACACAATGCTCACACGATGTTTTTTCAACTAGTTTCTTGGGCTTTGAACGGCTTCAAAGAAGCTTGGGGGGTCTGCGCCCCCCATTTGCAAACACCCTGCTCACATGATGGGTGTCAACAAGTTTCTTGGGCTTTGAAGCGCGCTCTGCACGGCTTAAAAAAAGCGGGGGGGGTTGGGGGGGGCGCAGCCCCCCCCATTTGCAAACACAATGCTCACAGGATGTTTTTCAACCAGTTTCTTGGTCTTTGAAGCACGCTTGGTACGGCTTAAAAGAAGCGGGGGGGTTGGGGGGGGGGCGCAGCCCCCCCCATTTGCAAACACCATGCTCACATGATGGGTGTCAACAAGTTTCTTGGGCTTTGAAGCACGCTCTGCACGGCTTAAAAAAAACCGGGGGGCGCAGCCCCCCCCCCCCCCATTTGCAAACACAATGCTCACACGATGTTTTTCAACTAGTTTCTTGGGCTTTGAAGCACGCTTGGTACGGCTTAAAAGAAGCGGGGGGGGTTGGGGGGGGCGCAGCCCCCCCCCATTTGCAAACACCATGCTCACATGATGGGTGTCAACAAGTTTCTTGGGCTTTGAAGCACGCTCTGCACGGCTTAAAAAAAGCGGGGGGGTTGGGGGGGGCGCAGCCCCCCCCATTTGCAAACACAATGCTCACACGATGTTTTTCAACTAGTTTCTTGGGCTTCGAAGCACGCTTCCTTTCTTCCTTCCTTGCTTCCTTCCTTTCTTCCTTCCTTTCTTCCTTCCTTGCTTCCTTCCTTTCTTCCTTCCCTCCTTTCTTCCTTCCTTCCTTCCTTCCTTCCTTCCTTGTTTTCTTCCTTTCTTTCATCCTTCCTTCCTTCCTTTCTTTCCTTCTTTCCTTCTAAAACCTACCAGAAATAACGCTTTCCTATGAAACCACAGAGAAATTACTGTTTTTCGTACGAAAAACCACGAAAATGCATCAAATCCTTTAAAAATATGGAGGGAATGGTGGTTTTCTTAGGAAAAACCAAGAAAATCGACCCAAAAAAAAAAAAAAAAAAAGGGGCCCAAAAAAAAAAAAAAGACCCAAAAAAATAGGCCCTCCGTTTAAGGGCATCAAGCTATGAGTCCAGGGCTTGTGTGTTGAGGGCTTAGATGGGTTTAGGGTTTGGGGTTGAGGGTTTAGGGTTTAAAGGTTTAGGGTTGAGGGTTTAGGGTTGCGGGTTTAGGGTTGCGGGTTTAGGGTTGAGGGTTTAGGGTTTAGGGTTCAGGTTTAGGCCGCGGCTCAGATAAGGGTGCTCCTCCGTGATTTGGGCGAGACGTGCCACGACCGCGGCCATCGCGGCGTCTTCGGACAGGTCGCCGAATTGCTGGGCAGAGCAATCAGGCTGCATTGGCTTTATATTTTCTAGCAAAAACACTGGGTCTATTTGGGTTTAGGGTTTAGGGTTTAGCGTTGGGATTTAGAGGGTTGAATGAAGAGCTTGGGGCCGTAGATCGGGTTTCAGACTTTTCTTCAAGAGCACACAGCATGTTTGACAGCCTCTCAAGATCGCACCGCTCGTTCCCCAAGCCCTAAACCTTCGGTTTTCTAAGCATGCCTGTGACTTGCTGTTGCAAGATGTTGTGTTCATGATCGGAATGTGGGTGGCAAGTCAGACAGGCTGACTCCAATAAGCCCTGAGCCCTGAGCCCTGAGCCCTAAAACCCTAGACCCTAGACCCTAAACCCTAAACCCTAGCCCCCAACCCATCCAGAGCCAAACGCGAAGTGTTCAGTGCCAAAATACCCGGTTTAGGGTTTAGGGTTTAGGGTTTAGGGTACGGGGGGACAACCAAGGAAGGAAATCAACTCCCCTAATCGCCCTGAACTTATATTTCCCAGATCGAACCAAGAAACAACCAAGAACACGGATAAGAGCAACCCAGGGGGGAAGGAAAGGGGGAAGGAATCCACACCCTTACCAAACCCTAAGAACCCAGGCACTTCTTTTTGAACTTGTGGCTTTCTGTTCAAGCCCATCTTGAGCCAAATACGATTACCGGGTTCATTAACCCTTCCAACTTCCAACACTAACTCCTTTCTACAATACCAATTGCAGCTCCGCACTCCCCCTGTCCTAGGATTTCCTAGGACACATTGGAGATGCAGATCTTTTGGCCAAAAACTGCCATTACGGCAGCAGCCAGCTGCTTGAAATGCAAGTTGTGGTTTAACGTCTTCCAGGACGGAATTATAGCACATTGGCTAACCTACTACCCATAGAGAATCTTTTTTCACCTTGATCCTCTCATCACTGAAGACTCCTTGGCCTTCTTCACCACAAACCGTGGTCTTCGCTACGCGAAAAGCTACTGACTCCTACTATCAGGGATTTCCATACCCTTAATAGTAACCACCACATTGTCAGCACATTGGCTGTTCCAGCGCACCGGTCTCCAGAAAGAGAAAAACCATCCCTTCATCCATACCATCCAATCACTTCTTTTTCCGATTGTTGGCAATCTTGAGGTGAAGTTGCAGCAGAATATACTCCAGGTCCGAAATCGTAAGAATAGGATCCTGTATGCCCCTTTGAATTGAGGATACCAATCCTTCTCTCTTTGCGTCCTCAATCGCCTGGCAAGATTGACCCAGCTCTTCATTCGCATTGGCAGACCCTGGTGCCTCCGCATCGGATGGACGATCCTTTTCCTCAGGATCTTGCACCATTACCACCTCTTCTTTTTTGGGACTCTGACTTTTCTCCTTCTTCTTTGTCTTTCCACCGACATTTGACTTTGTGCGCGTCTTCGAGGATTTTTCCACTGCAGAAGCCACCACATTGGATGTTGATCCACCCTTCTCAATGATCGTCGGCATCTTCTTCGGCTTTGGAACCATGAGAGTGTAAGGATCTTCGATAGCTGCAGCTTTCCTCTTCTTTTTTACCTTTTTCTTCTCCTCCTCAACGGCAACCTCCGTCTCCGAAGTCTCAACCACTTCTTTTTCGGCAGGAATATCTTTGCTGGACTCCCCTTCTAGGGACCTCTTTTTCCCTTTTTTGGGA